AGCAGCGAGCCCCTTCAGAGCCCAGACCGTTCCTTAATTTAGCGCCTCACCTGTCCTACAACCCTCGTCAAAAATAAACTGAGGGATTCTGTTTTCGGTGATTGTATGGTCAGCGCTACTCCAATGCTGACGCTAGATATCTGACGTGGACGCAAGGGCTTCATAAATCCGACGACCCCTCCGCAGCATTGAAGAACGCAGTGTCTAACAGGTGCCCGAGAAGATCGATCGTCGTGACTTCCAACTGCGTTTCTGCTTATTTCTGACGAGGCTTGTATTTGGACGCCCGAAATGGGTACCGAAAAAATGGGTACAATGCCCAACAGCAACTGTTGTCCCAAACCAACAGCGGCCGCTGTTGGGCAGTCGGCCCTCTGTCTCAAATGGACACAGGCCGCGGCTGCGCGGACAGCGAGTCCTGTTCAAAATGAACAGGAACGTGGGCATTGCACCCATTCTTTCCGTACCCATTTCGGGCGTCCAGATTGTAGGACTTGTCCTGGGCAACTTGCCCGACGTGCTCGGAGGCCTCCGCTGGTGCTCGGAGGCTTGCTCGCCTCCGGGGTGGCCTCCGGCAGCCGCGCCTCGCCCGAAAGGCGTTCCCAGGTATAGCCCCAAAAGCGTCCCGACTGGCCGCCAGCTGCTCGAATCCTGTCTCGCTCTCTCTCTCTCTCTCTTGTTTTTTGTCTGTCTCTCTCTCTCTCTCTTGTTTTTCGTCTGTCTCGCTCTCTCTCTCTCTTGCTTTTTGTCTGTCTTTCTCTCTCTCTTTCTCTCGCTCTGCCTCTAAATACAACGATACGTGTGTCTATGCATCCCTGCATGCATGTACACTTGGCGCTTCGCGCCATGCACCTCGGTCCTTCAAGTTCGGCCTCTCTCTCTCTCTCTTGTTTTTTGTCTGTCTTTTTGGTTTCTCTCTCTCTGCCTCTAAATACAATTACATTTGTGTGTATGCATCTCTGCATGCATGTGTACCAGACTGCATCGGCGCGTCGCGCCATGCACCTCGGTCCTTCGAGTTCGGCCTGCGGGCGGCACGGGAGAGGTGCATCCACAAAAACAGCGAGAACTCCCTGTTGTCGTTTTCGTCGTCGTCGTCGTTATACTGTGTTGTTCCTTCTCCTTCCCTCGTATTCCCTCTCCTCTTCCTCGTTGGCGCCTCACTCTGAACGCCCTTCCCCGTCAGTTTTTTTGTTGCGGGGGCTCCTCCTTGGGAAGCCTTTCGGCGAGGGCCTCGCGAAAACCAAAGCATTCCAAATCGCGATCCAGTCGTTCAGGGAGACCGCGGCTGGAAGCAGGGTGGCCCGATGAAGCCCCCAGAAGGCGCCCAGTAGGCCTCTAGAAGGCCCTAGAAGCCCTGAACAAATTTCGGGGGGCCCCCAAGAGCCTCTGCAAGGGGAAGCCTCCACAAAAAGAGCTGAGGAGGATGGGGACGAATTCGCATGGCAGGGCGCGAATGAGGAAAAGGAACAGGAAACATGGGGGAAAGATATCGCCTAGCATTATTATAACGGCGACGTCGAACAAATGTAACGAAGAATGATAGTTCAATCTCCTGTTTTGCTTTACCTTCCTGTCCTTCCGCCTGCATGCCAAGCTTCAGTGGCAATTCCGTTTTTCCTTTTCCGTCATCGTCGTTTAAATTCCATAGTTCCTTTCCGTTGTCTTGTGGAGGCTCCTCCTCCGCTCTTTTTGCGGAGGCTCCTCTCTGGAGAGCCTTTTGGGGGCCTACTAAAGTTTTAAAAAGGTTTCTTTGGGCCTTCTGGAGGCCTCCTGGGCGCCGTCTGGGGGCCTTTGGGGGAAAGGAGATGCGAAATTACACCACTGAAAGCTTGGCATGCAGGCGGAAGGGCAGGAAGGCACAACAGGAGATTTAACGATAACTATTCGTTGCCTTTTTTTCTCCGACATCGTCGTTCTACTAATGCTTTGCGATGCCATTCCCCCATGTTTCCTTGTCCTCGTCCTCATTCTCGCCCTGCCCTGCGAATTCTTCCCCATACTCCTCAGCTCTTTTTGCGGAAGCCCCTCCTTGGAGAGCCTCTTGGGGGCCTCACGAACCTTGTTAAGGGCTTCTAGGGCCTTCTGGAGGCCTCCTGGGCGCCAGCTGGGGGCTTCCTCGGGCCACCCTGTTTCCAACCGCGGTCTCCCTGACCGACTGAATCACGATTTGGAATGCTTCAGGGGGCGTTTTGGGGCCATCTTGGGCCGTCATGGGGGCTCGTTTCGGGCCATCCAGGGGCCCTATAGGGCAGACTTGGGGCTTTCCTGGACTGATAGGTATGTATGTATGTATGAATGAATGTATGTAGGTAGGTAGGTAGGTAGGTATGTATGCATGTACGTATCAGTGTGTGAATGTGTGTATGTGCGTATGTGTGTATGTGTGTACGGTACATCGACAAAATGTTGCACCACCTGGTGCCAAAGATAACGGACACCGTTTTAAAATAATCGCTTACGTCTGAGCCTTCCCCCCCCATCTAATATTGGCTGCGGTCCGGGGTCGCCGAAGCAGGTCGGCGGTGCAACACTCTGTCGATCGCCTGGGGAATTTCAGAACAGCTCCGTCTCGCATGCTCCCAAAATTAGATGGGGGTGGGGGGGGGGAGGCGGGGTGTTGAAGTACGCATTTCAAAGCTCGCCTAAAGTGATGCAACATTTTGTCGACGTGCGGTATGTAAATGTGTATGTGTGAATGTGTATATGTGTGTTTTTGTGTATGTGTATGTGCGTATGTGTGTATGTGTACATGTGTGTATGTGTGTATGAGTGTATGTGTGTATGTGTGTATGTGTATGTGTATGTGTATGTGTATGTGTATGTGTATGTATATACATATATATATATGTGTGTGTATATGTTTATGTGTATGTATGTATATGTATGTGTATGCATGTATGTACGTATGTATGTATGGATGGATGCGTATACGTATATATACATATATACATATATGTGTGTGCGTGTCCGAGGCGAAAGGGGTGAGATCGCAGTGAAGCGGAAAGGAAAGCCCCCCACCTGGAAATCGGTGAAGCTGCGTGCGTGCGCGGCCGAAACGACTGAACGCTCTTCTGGCTGGGGCGCCGCCAAGCCACAACACCGCCCGCACCGCGGTGGCTGCGGCTGTCCCGCCGGTGTCCCGTCGGCGCCCCGTCGGTGTCCCGTCGGTGCCCCGTGATGAGATCGATAATGATATCGATAATGGTACCGATAATATCACACTGGAAGCAATACAACATACTCCATTTCAGGAAAAAAAGACGGGCGGCGGAAAAAAAACCTGAAACAGTAA